GCCACTTAGCAGACATGCATGCCCTGGGCGAGGCGATTGCATCCGATGCAAGTGATGGTTTCTTATACTATAAACACGGCTCGAGGCAGACGGTGCATCGAGCACAGAGGCCACATGACGATGATGCGACTGTTTTTGTGTGCGGTCGCTTAGCCACGGCAGCGCATGTGGAGCTCGGTGCGCGGCCCAATGTGATTTTGAATCCTTGCCTTTCGTGTTTCAGGTGACGAGAGCTCTGCCGTGGTGTAGTAGTGGTGTTTTCCTGGCTGTCGTACTGTAGACGTTCTCTAGGTCCTTTGGTTTCGAGCCGAATTTAGATCAGGGTCTTGGACATACTGACCTGGTGCGCGCTCCACTACGGTACCGGCGAGCCTCTGGTTTTGATGATGAAAGGTGCCAACGAAGCGGATCAAAGACACCCCTGCATGCTGCATGCTTGCGAGTTTTCCGCTAGCTCCTACTCTGACCCGCTCTCGAGTTTTGAACGGCTCCAGGTCCAACCTAGTTGTAGCCCGGCATGTCTTACGTCGATTCGAAAGCGATCTTTCGACAAAGGTGCCTGGCCGTCGGGCTGCCTACTGAGGTCGTTGATCGGCTCGATTTGCGCGGCTGGAGCACCTTTGCTAACTTTGCTCATGCTCCTACGGCTACCCCGGGTACTGCAGGAGCGGAAGCCGCCATCAAGATCGTCCTTGATGCCATCCTAGGCGATTCACTTGCTGCCCATGAGGCAGCTCTTCGCCGGTTACACTGGGAAGCCTGGACACTTACCGCTGCAGACCTCAAACGGAAAGTGGACGGGACCGACGAAGCTGGGCCGAGGAAATTGCCTGTGGCCGAGATTGGTGCACGCCTGCAGGTCCTCGCTCCTAAGATTTCTCCCCTCAAACTCCAGGGAATCTTGGAGCCAAGTCATGCCAGCATTAACTTGTTTGCAGCCATGCTTGATGAAGGACGACTTCGCTATGTGGAGTGGGCCAGGCTCACCACTAGAGACCAAGAGGTGTTGGGTGCTACCGAAGACCAGCTTCTCAAAGCCTGGAGACCGGACAAGGCAGGCATTGTCAGGGAGCACAAAGATACACCCCGTCTTGAAGCGAATGTTGCTACGGACTTGTTGGTGCATCATGCTTTGCGGCGGAGGGGCGTGTGCTTCTCCGTGGCCGAACTCATGAGCTTTGAGGTACATGAGTCTCTCATTCAATTTTTGTTCGATGCGTATTACAAGGAGCCCACCGAAGGCTATCAGCGGGTCACGCTCGCGCAGCTTGCGCTCTGTGACCGGGAGGTGCATCTCCGCCTGAGCGACCAGTGTCGTTCCGGGTTCACGCTGGGTTCCGATGGGGGTTTGCCCTTGGATAGGCATTTGCCTATCGTTCTGCAAATGCGATGCGTTGAACAGTTGCTCCTGCCTCGAGCCCGAGGCGCTGCCAGCACCACCCCCCGGGACACCCCTAAGCCTAAGTCCAACCCTAAGAAGCGTAAGACCCCTACGGACTCCTCGGTGCCCCCACCCCCGAAACCTGTCGCTGCAAGGACCGATGTGCGGCCGAAAAAGCGCACACCTTACATGCCTGCAGCCTTGAAAGGAGGGGTGCCCGTCGATTCCGAAGGGTCCGCCTTGTGCTGGAACTACAATCTTGGCAAGTGCCCTCATGGAGATGCTGATTCGTGCCCTCGGGGCAAGCACCTGTGTTGCAAACCCAACTGCTTCCAGAAGCATCCCTTCATTCGCCACGCCTGACTAGGTTCCGCAGGCGAGGCTTCGAGTGTGGCCGGCTTTGGTGTCGATGCTGCCTTCGAGGCCTCTGGGCGTTCCGTCTGTGTGACTGCGACTGGAGATGAACCGTTTTCCGTACGCTTAGACTTAAATTTTGAGGGGGTCACTCAGTGTGATCACCCCGCCGAACTCTTCTCGCGAAAGTTGCTTCGGGAGAGGTTGCCGGATCGCCTAGATGTGCTGCAGCTGTTTGATCTTCTGCCTCGAGAAGAATCTTCGCGTGGCAGCACCGACCCTTTAGCTTTCGGCTGTGGTTGCTGGGTTCGTGATGCAAGATTTGGCTTACGCCGTAACAATCACCTGTTTCCGGCTTCTGTCCAGCTCTTGAATGTTTTCGTGAGGAGTATCCGCTCCGACCACGCGTGGACTTCTATCGTCATTTTCGGCGACGTGCGGGCTCCCCGCCATCGCGACGTTCGCAACAATTTTGATCCTAACCTGGTAGTAGCCTTGAGCGATTTTGAAGGTGGCAATATCTTCGTCGTCCGGCCTGACGGCCCCGAGGTCGCTTTCGATGCAGGTACCCGTGTCAGAGGCGTCATCCTCGATCCCCGAGTGCAGCCCTGCTTGTTGCATGCGCGACGGGATGAACACTTTACCCTGCCTTGGCGAGGTCGGCGGGTAGTGTTAGTGGCCTTCTGCATTGACCCTGTGCAGCAGCTGAGGGATGACCAACGTCATGAGCTTTGCTTGTTGGGATTTAGGCCACCTCCCGTGGGTGCTGCTCCCTCGCCGCGCGCCTGTCCTGCCCAGCAGATGTGCCTCGAGATCTTTTCGGCGCCACCTCGCTTGTCGGAGCTGCTTCGCCATGTCCATGTCCGGACCTTAACTCTACATCATGCCCCTGTGAAGGCTTGGAAGGTGCCCTGCTTGCGGTGGGACGTGCAACAGATCCCTGACGTCGAGTTTTGTTTGAAACGACTTCGAGAGGGCGTCGTGTCCTTCCTCTTCCTTGTGCCCCCTGGCGGCTCGCCCTCCCTTTCCGCCCCCTTGAATCAAGCAATCTTGAACTTTCTCGTGCTTTTATTCGCCACCCTTGCCGAAACGTGCACTCCTTTCTGCTTGTGCCTACCTCGTGCCTCGGTCTTCTGGAAGCCTGTGGTTGCTCAGACCATCGCCTTGAAGCATTTCTTGACTGACGTCGACTTGTGTCAATACGGGTGTGAACGTAGGCGCTCTACGCGCCTCTTACACAATGTGCCTGCTCTTTGCGATTTGGCCAGGCGCTGCGACGGCTCTCATGCGCATGCTCCTTGGTCTGCCAAGGCTCCTGACTCTCATCAGCAGCGTCACCTGCCGGCTCCTTTCTGCGACCATGTCGTCCAAGCGTGCTTGCCGCTTTTGTCTTCCTCCCTGCTACCCTCGCCGCTCCGACCCGCCTCTGCGGCGTTGCAAGGGTCCGCCAAGCTTCACGCTGTGCCCGCCGTCGTGCCCGAGTACAAGCAGGTCATCCGACTGCGAGTTTCTCCTGGGGTTCAACTCCCCGATGAGGTGCCTGCGGACGGCTGCCCGTCCCTTCCTGGTGTGCCTGCTGGGGCTGTGCGATTGACTGGCGGTCGTTTGAACCAGGACACGACACTGCTTCTTAAGGGGGTAGGCCACGCGTCGTGTCGAACTGAGGACCCACCGAATACAAGCAGTGATTTGCAGCAGACCCCACATGTGCATGCTGCTTATGCTGTTCCTTGGAATGTGCCCGAGTTTCTTGAGCAAGCCCTGCATGCTGAACACC